TATATATATATATATACGTTGATAATCTTGTTCAGTAGAGGAACATTATTAGAAAAAACCAATCAGAATCAAGAAAACGTTTTTCATGGTTCTGCGCGAAATTCGAAATTAGACAACCTTTATCTTCATCACAAAATGTGCGTTAAAAGCACCTTTGTATAATGCTCATAACGTTTGAAATTTTTCGAAAGAATTTTTTCGTCGTAATATAGTAAAATGAAATTACTAAATGTAAAAAGTGTTCACTTTCGTATAAATAAATCTTGCTCACTACTCAAATCAATCAGTTTTTCTCTCAATTCACTCTTTTTATGGTAACCTTCCAAAGAAATCATTTTACCAGTTTTAATGTGCGTAATGAACAAGTGGGTGAGATAGGAATGCTAAAATAGGTACCAATTTTTACTCTTAACGTCTTCATATCACCGTGACATCATTGACTGCGATAGTTCTTCGTAACCGTTCAACAAATTTACTAATTGTGACGACGGACCACAGGTGAACTCGCGGAAGCTATAAGAGGCTCAGAAGGAGCCGAAGATATTCCATCCAATCAGCGTTAGAAAAAATATTCTAGAATCCCTACGTGTAGCTTCCTGATTGGACAAGGCTAATAACCCCCTGTATGCGGATTGGAGGAATATAATGATGATTTTTGTTCTTACTAAAACTATAAATACCTGACAATTTGTACCCATAATTGACACTGTTTGGAATAACATTCCTTTCACTAGTCTTCTCTTTTCCCCTTGCGACTTGGAAGGGTTTTGGCGTTCTTGTGTTCAGTTATACGCGTTATATCAAGTAATCAACCATTTCTAGATATAACACTGATACTAATCTTTTAAGCAATGATGAATTTTCTGTAAAACTATATCTACAATCCTTAGGACAAGAAAACTGATAATAAACCTTGAATAATCAGTCAAGATCCTAAGAAAAAAGACGTAATTTCTTACAAGTTTTGGTGTTTCTATTATGGAATACTTTTGATTTATACTGACTCTTTATTGATGAATAACTTCAAAATAAATCACTCGTTTTAAGAATCACTGTAGCTCGTCTTTACTTTGACCAATTTTTCATGTTCCAAAATATGTGAGTTTTTCGTTTTAATGAAACAATAACACAAGATGAATCAATATTCAAAATAATTATTTCACATTAAATTCTTTATTACTGCTTAGAAGTTTATTAATCCTACACATTTTAACTATACAACCTTCGTCTCTATCATACGATATTCATTCCAAGTCCACATAATAATAATAATATGAACAGTGATTTCCTGTCATGTGACCTTAGTATGTATTCATCAATAGTAGTAGTTGTTGTTGTTAGTGGTGGTGGTGGTATTGTTGTTAAACCTACTATCGTTTCGGATTTATTTGAATACCTTAAATCATCTCATTAATTACACATCGTTTGTGATGATATACTACTGTAACGCACACACCTTTGTTGTTTCCATTAATATATAGGGATATTTATTTTTAACACTAAATGATCATAAATTTAAAAAAATCGTACCACATTATCTTAATTTGTAATTTTTTTTCTTGCTTATCACATCATAGTACAAAGATAATTTGCATGAACTAACACATTCGATTTACTTCTAATTAGATTATTCTTACCATGAACTGATATCAGTTAAAACAACTATTTGAAATCTAGGAGTGTGGAAGAGGTGTTTCTCCGTGTTGTATATACAACCACTTTATCTTCCGTACACAGGCTCGGGCAAAATACCTTCGGGTCTCTTTGTAAACATGATGATAATAATAATAATAATAATATTAGTTTCGAACTAACGTTGTATGTTGACAAATTTATTTTTTTAACAATGGCTTAGTTTAATGGTAACATTCACTAAAATATAAACTATTGGTGAAATTTGAAAATGATTGTATATTATGTTTTAATTAATTAATTTAAAGAACTGCTTTCGTATCCTCTCTCTCTCTCTCTCTCTCTCTCTATATATATATATATATATATATATATATATATATATATATATATATATATGGATGTGTTGTTATTCTCCATTGATTGGTCATTTTATTATTTTTATTGCTTATTTGTGCCAAATCGAACTATGAGTAGCATTTTTGAGAAAATAAAAACTATTATTATATAGGTCGTAAACTCGGTTTTTAAAAAATACGGATTCGATTTACATTCACACTGGTTAATATTTTCCATTGGAATAGTAAATCAAGTTAGAAAATATTATTTATTTTAACACATAGATATTGGTACAAGGAAGCACCAAATGCATATGCGCCACACAAATCTTATTTGATTTGTGTGACGGCTGTGATACTGCCCGGGTGCCCAAATCGAAACAGGTGGTTTTCCTAGGGGGCCACACCCCGAGCCTTCGACCTGAAGATCTGATCCATAAGGCAGTGAAGCATCGTAATGAGATTCAATTCCATTGTAGTCGGCGACCAACGATTGGTTCATACGCCATTTGTTCCGTCAGGATACTGGAGCCCATGTGCACCATTGATTTGGGATCCAGTTAAAGCGCCGGACATTCGCTTTTCTTCCTCTCAATTTTGTAAACAACACCGTTACGAGAAGGCAGTGAGTAGGACTTCCTTGGCAGAGGCTATATATCGCGCGGCCATGTGAGAGTATTTCGAGAGGGAGAGCGGACTCTTCCCACTCTCGGCCGTATCAGGGCATTAGGGGCAGTTAGAAAATAAATTAAGAAATAATATGTACTGTATTTATCATCAGAAGTAAAATAAACTGGGAAGAGTAGACGTTAGGGAAAGAAAATCCGAATTTGTTATAGTATTACTAGTTATCAATTACTTGTTTATTCTGAATAATTGACATCGAGTCTATACACTTTTTAATATTGACTAATTTTTGGAAAATATAGAAGATATCCTAATATCATGCTGTTTATTAAAAAGGTAATATATATAATACACGTTGCTTGTTTTCTTTTATCCAACATGGCCTACAACCTTTAAATCATATATCTAAACTTAAGTTATGGCTGACTGATTACCACTTAACCCTCAATAATTTACAGTCAATTGGTGGATGTAACGTGTTTCATGTGGACTGAAGCCTTTAATACTTATGCGACGTAAAATTGATGTTAGTTCATTTACAGATAGTCGATAGTAAAGTACATGGATCGTCTTTCAAACTGTTACTGTTACATTATCTGGCGTTCGATTTGGATGAATCCTAATTCAGCTTTTTCAGCTTTGACTTATTCGATCGACTCTACGCTAATTATTCTCAACTCATTTACCCATATTGTAAACTTGGGACAATTAATTATCACTGATTTCATATAAAAGTTTACTTAAGTCAATCAGTTAGTCTATCATAAAGCAGCGTATGTATGTGGAACATATGTGAGTTCAGGTTGATATTAGCAAACAGAGTTGAAATTATTAAGCCAAGTGACTGAGTAGTAATAATAGTAGCGGTATTGCTGTTATTGGTGTTGCTAGAAAACATCCGTTATAACGGGATAATTTTCAAACTCAAGATTTAAAGCAATTCAAAGAATGTATGCTGCGCCACTATGACCAATTCTGATCTATGTTATCCATTGGTTACGATAATCACACTGACCTCAGCTATGTAGTCTACACCTAACCGAACAGACAGTGAATTCATGATTTGATGTCACATGGTTTGATCACCCTTAGCTGGTGTAGTAGTCTGAAAAAAAGTCAGGTCAGGTTATGGTCTTGCGTAGGTAATATTTGTCTCAACTACTTTAGCCAGTGAAGATTAGCTACTTCATTACCCGAAATACCGTGTTTATTTAGTATAGTGCGTCTAACTTCACTGTTAAACCTATGGTACCAGGATATTCAAAGACATCCACCCAGATTTGTGTACTCACCATTTGGATGACTCTTAATAATTGGCAATCTCCAACTCAATACGTGGTGTTAACTGTTATCAACCATCTAGAACAAATATATTAAACTATATTGTAAGGGATTTATTTATTTCCAATAATTTATTTTTTATAGACTTCTTAGGTCGACGGATTCCTCAATGTCTTTAAGTATGTGTGAATCAGGGATGTGAATAGGTTTAGGGACTCTGAGCTACTCAATCACCGAAAATTGTGAAATATATAGTTCTAATCTTTGGATCCAAGATTTACAAGTAAACAATGAGTGGTTTTGCGTGATTGCTACTGATTTGAGGGCTTTTTCCAAACACAGATAACAGTCATTGCACTGCCTTCAACCAGTGAGTTGGCATTTTCTCAATTGGTAGGTCAGGTGAAATAGTCAATGGAATAATTATGCCACGAATAAATTTTATTTGTTCTTAATGTATTCAGTTTTAGATTGCTTTGTTTTATCTACTTATATTTATTTCAACACATAAACATTAATACAAGAAGGAACCACAAAAATGTGCGCCACACAAACCCATCGTTTTGTTTGAGGGCTGGAGTACTGCCCGGATGCACAAATCGAAGTAGGTAGTTCTCTTAGGGGACCACACCTCGAGCCTCCTATCTACAGGTCTAATCCACAAGGCAGTGGAGAAATGTAAGGAGATGCAGTCCCATTGTAGCCGGTGACCAACAATATGTTCATACGTCATTTGTTCCTTCAAGATTCTATAGTCAGTGTGGATTATTTGTTTGTAATCAGGGTTTTGCAACTTTCCATCTCAAGGTGGATCCTCCATATACACCAACCCAGTTAAGCGTCGGGCATTCGCTTTTCGTCCACTGAATTTTGTAAACAAAAGCCCTTCCGCGACAAAACAATGTATAGGACTTATTTGATAGTAGGTATACACTATTTCATAGCGTCTCGAGGGTTAGTAAGGGTTCTCCTCACTCTCGGGCGTTTAATAGAAGTCTGATTGCTTTACAAATGAAATACTAGTTAATTCATTTTACTCCATTATTATAATAATGATGATTATGACAATTATTATTATTATATTTTCGTATCCTTCCCGTTTCTTAAAAACAATTTATATAGTTTCGCAGTTGGTTGATCTATTCGATACTTAGTGAAGCACACCCAGATGATCGAATAGTTGGCATTCAACGTGTTATCGACTTGATGTTAATTATGGAGCATATGAATAATTTACAAGGAAGTCAGGAAGCCAAGTCAGCATTGATTAGTGCAGCCGTGTATCGTTTGAGAAAGTCATTTCAGGTAACTATATATATATATATATATATATATATATATATATATATATATATATATATATATATAGTGTTTTGTATTACCCAACAACAATAGGCAGATGTTTTTATTTAACCTGTTGCATGTTTGCTACTGAAAACTATTTAATGTAATCTTCCTCTTCTGTTGTAAATAAATACGTGACACAACGTTAATGATGTAAGCTGAGAAGTAAAGTAGTTTAGTCATCAATGTTTTCCTAATTTTAGGGAAGTCCGATTTTCGTACACTGTGGATCCCAATGAATCATCTTTCCGTTGTTTGACTTCATACATCGTATTTTCTCATCGTGGTCGCAGATTGAGTGGAATCAATATTGTAACGCTTGGATCCCGAATTTATAGCTCAGTTGATCTCTTCTGGATAGCAATACTTTCCAAAGACATTATTGGATATCGTTTTGTTGGTCTAGATATTAGTGTGCGAAATCGTGGGTCTTTGGTTCGTGAGTGTTCACTGCTTCGGAGTCATTTAGTGCTTTTAGGTTTTCAATAGTGGTTCCTTTTAGATCGGTTTGTGATTTCAACGAAATTCAATCTCTACAACACCATACTGACAATTTTATGAGCTTCCTGATTATGTGGCTTAACTTGGGATTCATGAGATTTTGATGGTATTCAAAAGCAATTCGTTATCTGTTTTTGTACTCAAAAATTTTTGGTATAACCATTTCAGATTTAGTATGATTGCAGAACCATGAGTTGACAATATAGAAAAAATCTAACGTTTACATTCTGCCTTTAATCATTTGCTAATACTATGCTAATTATTTCCTATTTATTAAATCAGTTAACTATCTTATAACATTAACATGTTTTTATCTTAAATTCACCCATTTTTGTTAAAATAATAATTATTTAGGCTATTCGTCGAATGCGACATTATCGTGAAATAGTTGATCGTCTAAGACGGGAAGGTGTTCACAGTCCGAAATATCAGCGAACATCCTCTTCGTGCTCATCATCATCATTAATAATATCACATCAAAACAATCCAATGATCGATTCAAATCTATCAGCAAATCATCCTATTCATAATAACAGTACTAACAATACTACTAGTAATAATAATTCAATAAATAATCATTTTGCTAGTTTCGGTTTACCATTTTCAACTGGAACAAGTAAATCACATGAACGCCGTATACGCGTACTAGAAAAACAACATGCATCTGGTGAGTCATGCCATCCATGTGTTCCATATATAGCTGCTGGAGTAATAACACGTCTAATACACTTAGATTTACGTCATCCAGATACAATTATAAATGATGCTGGTAATGTAATGATCAATTGTTGGAAACATCGTCAATTAGCTGATATTGTTGAACGTTATTTAGCATTTCAACGTATTCCTTATACATATAATGTAGATGATAATGTACGAGTAAGTCAATATTTGTCATTTTTATTTTTTAAATGAATATAATTCCAACAAAAAAGATTGTGTTTCCATTTATCTTTGTCTTTTTCCATTTCTTTACATATCATCTGAATGGATTTATTGGTGAGATTATAATTTATGAACGACCTTTGAGCGATGTTAGAGTGACCTTCAAAATGTTCACATACTAATTAAAACTAAATGATGGTTATAAACCAATGTGATGAATTAGAATTGTGGTTTACAGTTGATGGTTGGGGTTAGGAATTAGGTTCAGGGTTTTCATCGTGAACGTGCCAAAACGCTATTTAGCTAAGTGTATGAATAAATTTCGCGCCGAAATTCAAGACCTGTCAACCTAAATCTGATTGGTTCCTCCATAGATTATAGTCTCGCTGATTTCTGCTAAAACGAATATATATATATATATATATATATATATATATATATATATATATATATATAATATTTCGTCTGTTTTCAATCAAACAGAAACTTCCTATTTAGTTAATCAACTTTACATTGTTTAAGATTTAATTATGATTGAAACATCAAGATATGATGTAACACATCCTGACAACAAATTAATTCTATCTTTTTAATTGGTGGTTTATGTTGACCTTTTTTTGAAAAAAAAAACTATAACAGTATACTATGTTACTTCAGTAATTTGATTACAATTGTCGTTTGTTTTTGTTGAATAGTAAATTCATTTATACAATCCTCAAAAAGTTCTAGATTTAAACAACAATGTTTTAAATCGTTCACATTTTTACTTAAAAATAAACAACAAACAATCCATTGAAAGTAGGCAGACTCAATCGATTGTGTATTCCTCCGTTATTTCCTTTCATTACCTCAGATTTCACCATATTTTACATAAATAAAAATCAATGTTTGATTGTGTTTTGTCTAAGCAACCTCTTGATAGTGCTTCAAACTGAAATAAATTTATGTAACATCATTGAAGTGGGTTATATTTAATTGTAGTTTTATTCAGATTTAAGTGAAGCCTTCATGAAAGATACTTATAGAGTGAAAAAATATTCTTGCATAGATTTCTTTGGCTTTAAAATTAATGTTCGTAAGAACGTGTTTTTATGTGATTTTCACTGCTTTAAATCCAAACATAAAACATGGTTCACACTAATATATACGTTAACTGACATTGTACTTGTTATTGAATGATAAGATTGATAAATGATAGTATTTTGAACGGACGTGTACAAACTGTGAAGATATTCTTCTTGGGATTGATATTGAGATGGTTGAGGAGATTTGTAGCTCAGATAAATGATTACGATGAAGTTTTGTTCTCTGAACTGTATGGTATGGTCGGGGAGCTTTCATCGTTTTTCTGAACGAGATCATCACAAACTTCTGGTAGAAGTGAAGTGTTCGAATTTCTCCATATATGGCTCACAGCTTGCCCTGTATACCTCGATCTTTATTGGTTATTGTTGACATCTAACCTGTCATTGATTACTTTATTTTGATTGTATATCGAATTGATTTGACTCGTGGTTCTATATGTAATATTACTTAAGTGTTCAATATTTCAAAACATCTAGGACATTGGTTTCCAATTGAAGTTTATCTTAATGCTGGATGTAGTTGGTCATCAGTTGTTACATTGTGTTGTACGAAATAAGTATTTCTTTGTTAAAGGCTATATATATATATATATATATATATATATATATATATATATATATATATATATATAATGTTTTAGTATACACATATCTAAAAAACATTTCACAATTATTTTCTTAATCTTCTTTTACTAGCAATTTTTAGAACATGTTGATCCATTTGAACTAGCTGGCGTTTCGTCTGAGGCAGAATTTGAAAGTAAAATGTATCAGTTGTCTGAGTCTTATGAACCAAGGGATACTGAAACGGTGAATGAACCAATTATACCGGAGGTAAATTTCTTGAATTGTATAAATTTTCCTACTGCCCTTATAATATTTAATTGTTATGCATTGAAATACTGTTTTTTTTTTCATTTCATCTTAGAGAATTTTTTTGTCAGATTCACCAACTTTTCTTATCCATCATCTCATGCAGACAAGTCGAAGACTTCTTATATATAAGATCGTAGGCCAATGGGTCTATGTATCAATCTAATCAAGTTTATTTAGACACTGGATAGTCTCATTCATTGATATATATATATATATATATATATATATATATATATATATATATATATACAATTGATTGATCATTGGGTGACCGATGTCATGCGCGTCTAGTCCTTATTATTAGTGCAGATCGAATGCTATCGATCATGTTGCAATGTGGCCACTAGTCTAGGTGGCTCGACACCGCGGGCACTATTGTAAGGTTAGATGGTGGTTAGAGGTGGTCGACAGGAAACCCTTGACCCGGGTTTCGCGCTACTTGGCACTCGTCAGCAAGGTGTACCTGTAATCTTTGAGGGAACTGGTGCTCCCTGGCGGATTCGATCCCGTGTCACTCTGCTTCACAGTCAGAGACGTTACCACTGAGCTACCTAGACTGGTGGCCACTTTGCAACATGATCGATAGCATTCGATCTGCACTAATAATAAGGACTAGACACGCATGACATTGGTCACCCAGTGATCAATCAATTGTGATTACATCTCAGTCCTACAGGAGGTCGGTCGCGGCCCGGATAGCTCAGTGGTAACGTCTCTGACTGTGAAGCTGAGTGACACGGGATCGAATCCGCCAGGGAGCACCAGTTCCCTCAAAGATTACAGGTACACCCTTGCTGACGAGTGCCAAGTAGCACGTAACCCGGGTCCAGGGTTTCCTGTCGACCACCTCCAACCACCATCTAACCATATATATATATATATATATATATATATATATATATATATATATTTATATATATATGGTTAGATGGTGGTTGGAGGTGGTCGACAGGAAACCCTGGACCCGGGTTACGTGCTACTTGGCACTCGTCAGCAAGGTGTACCTGTAATCTTTGAGGGAACTGGTGCTCCCTGGCGGATTCGATCCCGTGTCACTCAGCTTCACAGTCAGAGACGTTACCACTGAGCTATCCGGGCCGCGACCGACCTCCTGTAGGACTGAGATGTAATCACAATTGATTGATCACTGGGTGACCAATGTCATGCGTGTCTAGTCCTTATTATTAGTGCAGATCGAATGCTATCGATCATGTTGCAAAGTGGCCACCAGTCTAGGTAGCTCAGTGGTAACGTCTCTGACTGTGAAGCAGAGTGACACGGGATCGAATCCGCCAGGGAGCACCAGTTCCCTCAAAGATTACAGGTACACCTTGCTGACGAGTGCCAAGTAGCGCGAAACCCGGGTCAAGGGTTTCCTGTCGACCACCTCTAACCACCATCTAACCTTACAATAGTGCCCGCGGTGTCGAGCCACCTAGACTAGTGGCCACATTGCAACATGATCGATAGCATTCGATCTGCACTAATAATAAGGACTAGACGCGCATGACATCGGTCACCCAATGATCAATCAATTGTATATATATATATATATATATATATATATATATATATATATATATATCAATGAATGAGACTATCCAGTGTCTAAATAAACTTGATTAGATTGATACATAGACCCATTGGCCTACGATCTTATATATAAGAAGTCTTCGACTTGTCTGCATGAGATGATGGATAAGAAAAGTTGGTGAATCTGACAAAAAAATTCTCTAAGATGAAATGAAAAAAAAACAGTATTTCAATGCATAACAATTAAATATTATAAGGGCAGTAGGAAAATTTATACAATTCAAGAAATTTACCTCCGGTATAATTGGTTCATTCACCGTTTCAGTATCCCTTGGTTCATAAGACTCAGACAACTGATACATTTTACTTTCAAATTCTGCCTCAGACGAAACGCCAGCTAGTTCAAATGGATCAACATGTTCTAAAAATTGCTAGTAAAAGAAGATTAAGAAAATAATTGTGAAATGTTTTTTAGATATGTGTATACTAAAACATTATATATATATATATATATATATATATATAGCCTTTAACAAAGAAATACTTATTTCGTACAACACAATGTAACAACTGATGACCAACTACATCCAGCATTAAGATAAACTTCAATTGGAAACCAATGTCCTAGATGTTTTGAAATATTGAACACTTAAGTAATATTACATATAGAACCACGAGTCAAATCAATTCGATATACAATCAAAATAAAGTAATCAATGACAGGTTAGATGTCAACAATAACCAATAAAGATCGAGGTATACAGGGCAAGCTGTGAGCCATATATGGAGAAATTCGAACACTTCACTTCTACCAGAAGTTTGTGATGATCTCGTTCAGAAAAACGATGAAAGCTCCCCGACCATACCATACAGTTCAGAGAACAAAACTTCATCGTAATCATTTATCTGAGCTACAAATCTCCTCAACCATCTCAATATCAATCCCAAGAAGAATATCTTCACAGTTTGTACACGTCCGTTCAAAATACTATCATTTATCAATCTTATCATTCAATAACAAGTACAATGTCAGTTAACGTATATATTAGTGTGAACCATGTTTTATGTTTGGATTTAAAGCAGTGAAAATCACATAAAAACACGTTCTTACGAACATTAATTTTAAAGCCAAAGAAATCTATGCAAGAATATTTTTTCACTCTATAAGTATCTTTCATGAAGGCTTCACTTAAATCTGAATAAAACTACAATTAAATATAACCCACTTCAATGATGTTACATAAATTTATTTCAGTTTGAAGCACTATCAAGAGGTTGCTTAGACAAAACACAATCAAACATTGATTTTTATTTATGTAAAATATGGTGAAATCTGAGGTAATGAAAGGAAATAACGGAGGAATACACAATCGATTGAGTCTGCCTACTTTCAATGGATTGTTTGTTGTTTATTTTTAAGTAAAAATGTGAACGATTTAAAACATTGTTGTTTAAATCTAGAACTTTTTGAGGATTGTATAAATGAATTTACTATTCAACAAAAACAAACGACAATTGTAATCAAATTACTGAAGTAACATAGTATACTGTTATAGTTTTTTTTTTCAAAAAAAGGTCAACATAAACCACCAATTAAAAAGATAGAATTAATTTGTTGTCAGGATGTGTTACATCATATCTTGATGTTTCAATCATAATTAAATCTTAAACAATGTAAAGTTGATTAACTAAATAGGAAGTTTCTGTTTGATTGAAAACAGACGAAATATTATATATATATATATATATATATATATATATATATATATATATATATTCGTTTTAGCAGAAATCAGCGAGACTATAATCTATGGAGGAACCAATCAGATTTAGGTTGACAGGTCTTGAATTTCGGCGCGAAATTTATTCATACACTTAGCTAATAGCGTTTTGGCACGTTAACGATGAAAACCCTGAACCTAATTCCTAACCCCAACCATCAACTGTAAACCACAATTCTAATTCATCACATTGGTTTATAACCATCATTTAGTTTTAATTAGTATGTGAACATTTTGAAGGTCACTCTAACATCGCTCAAAGGTCGTTCATAAATTATAATCTCACCAATAAATCCATTCAGATGATATGTAAAGAAATGGAAAAAGACAAAGATAAATGGAAACACAATCTTTTTTGTTGGAATTATATCTACATTATATGTATAAGGAATACGTTGAAATGCTAAATACATGTGATTTACTTGTTCCAGTTGAAAATGGTAAACCGAAACTAGCAAAATGATTATTTATTGAATTATTATTACTAGTAGTATTGTTAGTACTGTTATTATGAATAGGATGATTTGCTGATAGATTTGAATCGATCATTGGATTGTTTTGATGTGATATTATTAATGATGATGATGAGCACGAAGAGGATGTTCGCTGATATTTCGGACTGTGAACACCTTCCCGTCTTAGACGATCAACTATTTCACGATAATGTCGCATTCGACGAATAGCCTAAATAATTATTATTTTAACAAAAATGGGTGAATTTAAGATAAAAACATGTTAATGTTATAAGATAGTTAACTGATTTAATAAATAGGAAATAATTAGCATAGTATTAGCAAATGATTAAAGGCAGAATGTAAACGTTAGATTTTTTCTATATTGTCAACTCATGGTTCTGCAATCATACTAAATCTGAAATGGTTATACCATATTAAGCTATATATATATATATATATATATATATATATATATATATATATATATATATTAGAGCCCATTCTAATGAAAATCCTTTGTGATATGTGTCTAGTCTGTTAAATTCATGCCGAATCCCGACAGAAATCAATGAAAGTTTTCTATATTCATAAAATGTTTTACACCTTTGGCAAAATATTCATCATCTTTCCTAAGATTTTTCTTTGAGAATTCCCGTCTTCTAATTTGATGACAAATCTTGTAAATGTGAAGCATTTTTACCATGCACAGATTTCTGTACTACACTTTGAGTTTTCCATACTTTAGATAATCAACTCAAATAGTACAATTAGGTTGGGCCTTAGTTAAGTGTTTTTGACCCATTAATTTTATGGCCGTCATTGCAGCTTAAATTTTTTCGATTGGTGTTTTTAGATTTCTTTTTTAACGATACACGTTAGACTAGCTTTAAAAATCGAGAAGCACTGGACGGTCGTTTGATTCTGATACGGGTCTTAGCAATGCCCATCTACAACCTTGCGCGAACGTTTAACTGCTAAACTTCTGAGTCGGCATCCAATTATATATATATATATATATATATATATATATATATATATAATATTTAATCCGACTAATTATCACGTGTCTTATTCAGCAATTGCAATACGATATATATATATATATATATATATATATATATATATATATATATATATAATATTTAATCCGACTAATTATCACGTGTCTTATTCAGCAATTGCAATACGATCTATACAATCTTGGCACTGTGCCAAACCAATGACTTATGGACCGGTATGAACAACCTAGCGTCTTTATTAGACCTTTGTCCTCCTAGCCCTTTCAGTTAAGTCCAGAACACCAATACCAGCTTCCACTGTGCAAATCATTTACTTCAAACATACTTGGTTTCTATTCAAAACGCCATAAATAGAAAATAACTTTTATGCAAGTTCAAGCTAAAAGATGGCTGTGAACGTGTGAGACTGTAATTAATGAACTGAGTATAATTTAAGAATAGTAGATCGTATCATAATAGTCTATAGGTCAAAATAAAGCTTATAATAAAACGAATATAGGTATACATAATCTAGTCACTGAATAGTTATACAATAAAAATATACGTATAATATTAGTCCATAAATGTATCCCAACAGTTACCATCCATTTTTCTCGTCATGATGTAACAGTTGACAAGAAAATATCAGTGCTGTAAAATCAGTAAATAAGTGAATTGGAGCTTATCCAAGCTTTTATGAAGTTGTATTGTTAATCTTTTATAAACATTATTAGCAAGCATGCTCCTCCGTGATACAGTACCTTTTTCCTGGATATTGTTTGTTTTACTTTTCTGCAATCTCTTTGGCTAGATGTTTCTAAGTTCATACTTATAATTAACTAATTTATTTATTATATCATTACTATTATTATATTGTGTTTCATAGGAACGTCATATGACTAAAGAAGAAATACAAGCTGCACAATTACTCAGTAATGCTCCATTAAAAGAACGTATATCAGTACCATCTGTACTTCAATTCAACAATTTGCTCAATTCACCTAATAATACTGCTAATACCAATAATATTAGTGCTAATAAATCACCACTATTATTATCATCATCGTCATCTACACCATTCACTACCAATGTTGCTACCGATAGTACAAATGAACATAAAAATTCATCAAAGAAATCTAGTCATCATCCTTCATCGTCATCACCATCATCACAAATCGGTGTAACTTTTATTAATAACGATAGTAACAGTAGTAAACATTCTCATGGTGAAATACAAGAACGTAAATATTTACGTATTCCTAATGCATTTTCTGTATCCAATACAACTGTATCAGGTATGTGTATTATTTATAAAATAAATTAACTTATATTTGTATGCTTATAATTATGTATTATAATTACTAAATTGTTGTTATGTGTTAAAATTGCCGACAATAATCAAACCTACCTAGATGAACAGTTGTGTTGGCATGTTGTAGTGTTTTATTATGATTAGTTGTGAAAGTTAACCAATGAAATAAATATAAAGCGAACTTTTTCTTAACAACAAAATAATTTCTTAGTAGAGAGGGATACCGTACATGCATAAATCTTTCTTGAATGACTGTCACGAGCTATATTTCTAAATTTACTCAAAAAACCAGGACAAACATTTAATGAATTAGTCCGAATTTCGTTTTTCTCACACGCTTCATAGTCTGCAAATGGTAGTAGTGTATGAATATTTTTCAAGCGTTTTACTCTTCATACGTGTACTGGTATACAATTTGATGCGTAAATCAAAAGATTGATACAAGTTTTCAATAAACATGATTTATTATTGATTAAATATGCCGTGATTATTTATGTGCGTCCCCCCCCTAATAATCACTAATAAGCAAAGGGGATCTGTGTATTTTCAGTGCTTAGTTTTTCTCATCATATTACTTACTTATTTACTTATGCCCGTTGCCCCTTGTGAAGGAGCATAGACCGCCCACCAGCATTCTCCATCGAACTCTGTCATGGTCAATCCTTCCTCGTTGCTACTCATCCTTTTAATATCTGCTTCAAATTCTCGACTCAATGTGTTTCTTGGTTGTCCTTTTTTCAATTTCCTTTCAGGATTATAAGTTAGGGTTTACCTCGTGATGCACTTTGACGTTCGTATTGAAGTCATGTTTCTATACTACATTATTTCGTTTTTCTTAGATTGTTATTCATCTTATTAATTTCATCTCGTCATGCTATTGTGTTGTGGCAACTTTGATCAGCTTACGTTTGTCCTAGACTTTGCGATATTCTATTATTCACGAAGTTATATTATTGCTTTTTTTTCTCAGGCGCTAAACATCAACACAGTATGTCTGACAGTCATGTCATTTCTCCGATAATTTATCCTTGTCATCAAGCAGCAAACTCAGTGATTGGCGTAACAACCGCTTACTCTGCTACCGATGGGTTGTCACCGCCATCAACCCCTTATCCTTCTGCATGTGTTGGTTGTTCACATCAACCACCACCTCCACCATTACCACCTAGACAAAGCCGTCAAAGTTGTAATTGTTGGAAACATTCTAAAGCCCCAAATTCCACTGGTACAACTCTGCACAGAATACCTACTCCACCATCTTCTCTTCATTCATCGAATACTTCATGTGTTTTCTTTTCAACTATGGAAAATTGTAAGTGTTTACCACCGCCACCACCACCACCCCTACCTCCAAAGTTAAACTGCTCTATTCGTTCGACTGCAGCAACAACAACAACTGCTCCTGTCGCCTACAGTCGATCTCCCGATGCGTCTTCTAATCATTCGAATTTTTTTCAATCAGCCACATTCACTCCAGATATTACTACTATTACTACCACCACTGAGTATAGTATTGTTGAAACAGCTCCACCATTACCGCCAAGAAGAAATGCTTTCAATAATACCAGTACTATTACTACTACTACAACGTTATGCAATACATTATCAGATCACATTAACAGATCACCTGACACATGACAATATGCTGTATAGTTTGATTATTGCTGCTTATTTTTATGCTGCAAATTCATTCCTTCTCGAATCATACACTCTAGTTATAATCTACTCCTTACTGTCGCTGATACTATCATTATAACTTTTCTGTTCTTCTTATTGATTTCCTCTTATTGTGTACTATATGAAAATTTTGGTTGATGTACATTTGTACAGAATCCAATATTACTTATGGTTGACTGACTTTATACATATAATGCATACCGAGAGTGGAACCTCATCTCAGCTATGTAGTTTATGTCTGTTTGTATGAATTAAATTCTTTTTTTACTATCATTATTATTCTAAAACAGTATTCATTGTCTTCTTTTCATTAACAAAGAATTTCAACTAAGATATTGTGTTTTTCCTTTCTCGGTTCTTCTCTTCACTCGTATACCATTAATATGCATTTAGTGTAAACTCCCCCCCCCTCGTCTTCATTTTTCCCATATAAGGTTACAAACGGTTCAGAATCAATCACTCATAGACACATTCTTGTTCTTTTTTTTTTAAAAAAGAAACTTCAATTGCAAAATTATTCCAAACTTTATTCCACATATCGATTCTTTCTCTTGGAATCGTATTCTTCTTGCCTTATATGTTTTTTGTTGCTATCAATTCTGATGTACTCTTCATATTTCTCTCCATAGTTTCATCTTACCATGATGATCTAAAATTACAACGTGACCGGATCTGAGTATATTTGTTAAATCCTATGTTCCTTATGATTTGCTGATATAGTAACTGGCGCGATGCTCAGTCGAAACAAGTGTACAACTATGTTTCCTTTCTTCTACACCCTGCTTATCGTTGATTTCATGTTAAGATAAACAAAACAAAACAAAATCAGAAAAAGAACATTGAAACCATAAAAAGATAAGATCAGTTATCTTAGATTTCTATGATTTATTTTTGTCTGTCCTTATGATTGTTTTCCCTGCTTTTCAAGTTTGTGACTCGCTTTGATTTTCATTTTTCTACCGGTGTTGTAACATGGATGATTCATTCTAACATAAATGCATTTTTATTTTGTGCTAAGAAGTGTATGTTGTGTGTGCATTAACTCAAGTTGTCCAAAAAATCGAGTCATTGAGTTATACGTACTTTTAAGTTTATTTATTTATAATACTATAATAGAAACATGTGTATATGATGTTGGTGATGATGATGCTTTTATTATTCGAACAATTGAAGTACTTGTCTTATTATTTCCTTTACTTATTATTCAATTATATTTCTTAATAATCTTTGGTTTTTTGTTTTTCCCTTTTTGATCTGCTTTTTATTCTTTTTTCATTTCCATTTTTGTACGTTTATCGGTCAGAAGAATGTATGTTTGTCAGTTATTAGTAGTCTATTTACTTTTCATTTACAATTTTATCCCGATTTATCGAGGTTGTGAACAATTTTTGCAGTTTGCCGATAAAACGAAGTCCGCATATATATTTAGCTAAGTTCAACTTACAATCTAACTGTAATATTCATATTTTATATCTGTTCTGATTTGCAATTTACTACGTGAACTATAATATATGCTTTACATATACACATAATGCACAGATACCGATTTCCTCAACACTCTTCATTTTTCCTCTAACTAGAAGTGTAAAACGGACAATTCAGTCTACTGATTTAGAGTTAATTCTGACTTGTTTTGTTTTCTTGAAGAGAAACAATATTTTAATTTTTCTCTTAACTTAAACACCTCACAATTATGGTGTATAAGTTATTTGAATTTGTAATAACTTCTAGAAACCTGTAATTTGATTACTAGAATTCATACATATATATAATATGAAATATACGTTAAATATACCGATTGCTATTTTTGAGAAAACCAAATATAGAGTGTTTAGATACTAAAAACATTATAACGTAGGTACGCTGATTGTCTTGATGAAAGTTATCTTTTTCTTTCATGAATGCAAAGCAATGGATACAGCGCACGTGTTAACAAGTTCGTTATTTCAGTATTTTTCCTGTATGAGCTTTAGATTTACTCATGAACAATGTCTTCTACGTGAAACTAAATATTGTATTTCATCTTTATGGAACAGTTACTTAGTGGTTAAGGCAATCGACTTTCAATTGTTAATCTTCGGGTTTGAATCTTCAATTTCAGAATCGGGTTAGTATCATTAACCCTCATACGAAAAGTGTAACTTAATAGCTGGGACATAATTCTTTGCTTGGTTGTTAAGTTAAATTAATCACACTACAAACTGTAGTAATCTTGTAGAATTGTACTACGTTAATTTGTCCAATAAACGGAGTTAATAACCCAGTAGGATTATTAAAATCCCATGAGAACATGAATCAACAAATAAACATCTACACATGATACTATATGAATCCTAATAGCAACCAAATGTTGGCAGTCACATAGTTAACAACTAACGTCATCTTTCTGTATAATTGTCGACTTTATTTTTTTATGCGATGTATATTTTCAACCATTCTACACGTATCTTTCCTTTCTGCTACAATCCATAGTTGATTAATTGCATACATATTGTTAAAGATAATCGATCGCATCGATAAAGTTCGTAACCTATTCAGACTATTACTATATCATTGTTGCATGCAACTAATAAGTCTTCACTGATAGCGTGGGTTTCTTATTTTCCTTATTCTTTTAGTGACTTAATTTTTTTACACTTTAAACTCTACCATAGATGTTATGTTCAATGTGGATTTTCGATTACTCAACATAGATTGGTACATAAGCTATTTGTTTACTTGTTCTAGTCATAATTACTACAATAATTCGGTACTTTACAATCAGCCATGATAGCGGATTCATGATATCTGGTTTCTCGCGTGATGTATGGATATACTAGCAATATATCTTTATTTCTAATATATTGTATTACTCCCAAGTGAATTAAATTAATATGATGCAATCTCATCGTTTATAACTAACCATCAATTGTAAAACACGTATTCTTACCTCAATATTTTCTAGCCAGTTATTCCAGTTTTTATTGTAAAGGCAGCATTGATAACATTGTTCAATGTCATGAATGATTTATGATACCTTAGGAAGACCCAGTAGCTTTGTATTGAATACTTGAAGAGTTAATTTGTCGGTGACTAGTAATAATTAAGTGCTGTATTATAAAATCCAAATGTTGATGAGATTCTGTCGAACTAATAATAAATCTCTTATCAGAATCATTTAAACAGATAATAGACTGAATGAGTTGTAATGAGTACTTTTATTATTGGGTCTTATAAATCACAATGTATACGTAAATTAGACGAAAATCTGAGTAACATATTCTTAAATAAATAATATATTTGTAATATCCCAATGAGTAGAAAATTAGATTTTCTACTCATTGGGATATTACAAATATATTATTTATTTATAACAATCAACCCAATGCTCAATTTATTCGAAATTATCAAATCAAACCTTGGTAATGATACCTACTAACATATTCTTAGTTGAATAGTAACATACAACACAATAGTTTATGAATTGGAAGGGAGATTCTGAATAAAACTAAAATTTCTGTGAAATATGCTTGATTAATAATCATGTAAAATACACAAACGGATGATTCGATATCATAGATAGATTGTATTCGTTACTGGTATGTTATTGTAGTCAATCATAGGAAACATCCCAACATAGGTTTTTGTTCTCTGAAATAAACTTCACCAATATAGTCAAGAGTTTACTGTTAATTTTTTTTAGTAAGTCATGAAATAAACTAATTTTACTGTCGCTTAATATGTTTTGTTTCCAGTTATATCATAAGGAAAGTCAGTAATCTTTCACTTTAGCTACTCACTTAAGAAAAGTCTGGGAAATATTTGTAAAGGTTCATAGTTTCATTTTGTTGGTACTATTACAGAATAATACGTTGACGTTTAAAGCAATGACATACTGGATTCGATTTTCATTGTGAACAACAACACTCAGATGAAAGGACATCCAGCTGACGGGTCCCAAATTAAAAGAAATGTCATTCCCACATACCATCACTAGCCGCGATCCAACTTTTATTTATAATAAGTTTTTCATGTCATTATTAAACCAAATAATCATCGTGAAAACTGTTTTAGATAGGTAAACGTTTAGTTTTAGAATCTAACTTTTAACAAATTGTTTCCACTGTTTACGAACTAACTGAAGGGATATTTTTAGGTAAGGATGGGTAGTAGCTAGCAGTAAAATCCAGAATACACGTATCTTCATCTGGATGTACCTGCATCCCAGAGTTGATACTGACTCCGGAACTCGGATCCATCGATTTTACATCAACTTGTGTTATAAAGGCTATGGAGACAACTCACACAGGATGCTCATATACTAAAACTGATCAAATTTCAGTCAAAAAATATCAACAACGAGATAAACCGAACTATTTTAAATTAAATGAAACAGAACAAAGCAAAAATTAATCATTGGAAGAGGAATGAAGTTTCAGGTTTTTTGGAATATTCGGTTTAATAGTTATTTATTACAATACTTAATTTACACATAAATTAATGCACAATTAGGTTTTTAATAAGTTCATTTCAGTTAGATCTACAAAACATAGAATCAATATAAATTGGTTTCAGGATGGATTTCCTGAAGTTCTAGTGAGAAACTGTGCTCCATGTAGTCCAATTCTTGTCGGGTAGAGACGGTTACCCACCTCAGACAATGGACGAAGGGTTTTGCAAAATCATGAATCGATTAAAGTTAGACATTAACATCGTTAGATGCCGATCCGCTCAATGGTTTAGAGGTGAAGCATTCACGTGTGAGATTAAAGGTCTTGGGTTCAAATCCCACGTAGGACCGTGTCTGCTCACTGCTGAAAAGTCCCATACTAGGACAAAACGGTCATTCAGGTTTTCAATGATGAACTAGCTTACATCGATTTACGAATTTAACTATCAATAAAAACTTGTCTATTAACAGAAATCAACATTTATTTTTTAATTCAGATTCTTTTGAGAGTATTAATTGCATTTTATCAAGTTACTTATTATTACTGTTTATTATTATCTTACTAGATAAGGGTTTCTATTAACTTATTCAAATATAGAAGATAATTTGAAAGGTATCAACAATAAATATATATTGTAAATGTTACTAGTTATTGGATAATAATTTTGAATATTCAATTGATTATTTAAAGTTGATCGGTTATAGAAATTAATAAAAAAAAACTATTGATTTCTGATCTGTTTTTTTTTCTTCTTTTCTTTTCTTTATAATTTTTCATTTTTAACCAAAGTTATTTTTCTTACGAATACATTAATATGACATAACTTGGTTTGAAATGTAAATCCAGGCTATTACCACCTAAAATCCTATTGATTAACTGACCTAGATTATCAATGAATGTGTGACGATTGAAATTTAATCAATAATGAATAGTAAGTAAAAACTAGTAATACGTGAAATGTGGCCAACTGGGGACTTATGTGTATATATATATATATATTTGTGTGTGTGTGTGTAATGTATGTCCCTATGTGGCTATTTGATACATAGGTATATACGCCTAGCCATAATTATACACATACTGATGGTATATTAAGACTATATAGAGAAAAATGACTACAAAAATAGATCGTACACATGTAACCTAGATATTGTAGATACTATTTCAGAAATATAAATACCATCAAAATTGCAAAAAACAAACTACGTGATTTACACTACAAATATATATAATGGTTAATTGAAATCGGTGGTAAATAACACGTGACGTACCTATACCAAAATATTAATTTATGATAAAAAAAAAGTTTTTTTTTGACTTTTTTATGAAATAAAAGTAATTGCATCATGTTTTTTTTTAGTTTGACCTATATATTATTTAATTAGTCAAAATTTAACTAAAACTATATATATATATATATATATATATATATATATATATATATATATATATATTGGTTGGCTTAACCTAGACTATATAATATTTTTAAATTAAGTAAATTGTGTATACATAGTTTCTAGAAAGTCTTGACACACAGAACTGTTAATAAACAAATAGTTAAATGAATGAATCAATTAAAATTAGACCATTATGGAAAACCTGGAAGCACTGAACGGTTGTTTCATCCTAGTATGGGGCTTCTCAGAACTGAGTATTCTTAAACACATACTTCATCTCACCGGTGAGATTATGTATGCATACTGCTGAAGAGTTTTATACTAGGATGAAATGATCACATTCAGTTTTTCCAAGTTTTCCAGGGTGGTCTAGCTTTAATTAACTCATAAGTTCAACAATTAAAATTACTTACTATAACATCCATAAAATCCCATTTCTCATAGTAGACAAATAAACAAAATGTCAGCTGAATATAAATCAAACTATTTGATTTAACGTAGCTTTTAAAACAAACCAACTATACTATGAAGAAGGTTTATGTTAAAAGATTGTTATAATTACAAGAACATTGCTGTTATAATTAACAGTGAAAACTATGGTACATTTCATGATGTAAATAAGAAGAATAATACAGATTTTCTAAAAATGAAATTTGTTTTATTCTACAAAGAATATCGACAGCTGTTATAACGTCAGATAACTGATACTTACTTCAATAATCACACAACACTAGTAAGAATATGAAGTGTGTGCTTAAGGATTTATTTGACACTTGAAATTGACTAAAATGAATAACTGTATACACTAAATTTTCAATAATTTACATAAATTAATGGTCAGATTTGTATGCATTGAAATAATTATTACTTAACATTAATTCATCACTTGAATAGTACACACATTCAGGAAAGCACCCAACTGCCTTACAACACAAGCCCTCACATGAAATCCTTAAGGCCAAAGGAAAAGAGGAAGACCAAAGAA